ATGTTGCTGCCTACATGTACGGAGGGGTGATAAACGCTGAGGGGCCATTATTTATCACCCACTGAAGTCCAATTCAAATATGGCCCTGACACTAACCACTGCCATGAATGAACCTACTTGCACGATCTGACAGCTACTATCTCGTAGTAAGAAGCAGTAATATCATTGCTTAGAAACCCTGGCCAAACTCCGGGCGGAACAGCAACATTTGATCGCTCGCGCACCACTGTACAACAAGGTCAATTACTCAACACGTTTCAGGAATGTAAACAAGTCCGCCATTTTGGTCTTCATCTCCATAAACGGGGAACTTATTTGCGAAGTACTAACGACGTACACTTTTTTGAGCCGCAGCGCACATACGGCACTATTGTCCAGTGCATGAGTTAAATGGAGGATCCTAATAAGCAGGCAGTATCCTATCACGTTGTAACCAACCATGGTAAACTGTTCGACCTTATTTGTGCGACAAGTGTGTCGTTTCTGGCGTAAGGGTCCTCTGATTTGGCCTGCGGAGAATTTGTACTCTAATTCAACAAACCCCAGACAAGCACACCTAAAACCGCAATTCACTGGACTTAAAAGTGAAGTAGTTACTAAGGAGCATAGCCCACTGAACAATAGAACTTTTTGTAAACGGGATAAATAGAACTGCTTCGCAAACTCCGATGTGTAGGCTGATGGATTATCGAAAACGTTATTGAAAGAATAAGATGTATTGTAGTCATAATAAAAATAGAAATTATATCTTGTTTGAAATGCAATAGCTCTACACACTGGGTGTTTCCATATTCTTACTAGAAAACGATAAACGAATCCAAGGTATTTTGGGGAGTAGGCTGGAGATTGGCGTCAAGTAACAAAATGTACTTGCCGGAATTCGTCATCCCACCAGCTTTTAAATATGGCTCACGTGATAACGAAAGCAGCCGATTCTGGTATAATTTTTCGGAGTTGGCTAATATGATTGAAAAAGAAAATTCTACAACAAGCCAGAGGGCAGTACTCTTCCGCTAATTACCATAGGTGGCCTCCAATTTTGGTCTTCCTAAAATTTGGATGATGTAAAATCAAGTATAACGAAAGAAAATCACAATCTACTAGCGTGTAACGCCTGCTGAAAAATACCAAAATCTTCCGCCTCTGCTCAGCTAGACGGCGGCGCATTCGGACGAAGTATTTTGAAGCTCGACATTATAGTTGTTCTAGTGCAGTTAACTCATTGTTCAGCCTTGGCTGTCAGACTTGTAGTGCGTATCCGAAATGGGGACTACATACGAATTTAGCTTCTGTCTGATATTATTACTGTCTACTTTTCCGAAGGTTCGTCATTGCATACCAATTTGATGGTTTCCAGTTTTCGATGCATTTGCGGATTGCATGAATGGACCCAATATATCCTGAACACGTGCGCCATGGTCGTGTTTGACAGATAGTTGCTGCCGTACTTGCATACCTAGATTTTACGAAGGGGTACCAATGATTGTTTGCAGAATAGCTTGCTGTTTTTAACTTTAACTGTAGCAGATTTGGTGTTGATCATACATGTATAATTTTCAGGTCCTACTGAAGTAACTTCTGAATAGCAACGCCCTGAATCTGGTGCCATATATTGATATTGAAAGCAGACATCAAAGTAGTTGCAGGGATTCTCCCTGCAATATGACTGATGAATGCCAAAAAACATTGTGGACCTAGCACTGAGCCCTGGGGCACATCCGACCCGACGGTTATGGGTTCAGAAAATGTACTTCGGACTTTGACCAGTAATGCTTGTTGCATGAGAAAGTCAGATATCCAGCTCAAGAGAAGGTCACCGGGTCCGTACTAATAAAGCATGCGAAGGATAATCCAATGATCTAAACTAGCAAATGTCTTAGACAAATCCAAGGATATGATAACATCAGCAGCTGCCGCGTCAGCTAACGCGGTCCGGCTACCCTCCGCTATTAATCAATTGGTTGCGTATGACCGCTGTTCAGGAAAGGCTTTTTGCTATGTAGCACTAGAGTTACGATTTTCTAAACAACTTACCAACGCATCCGCAAGATGGATTGCAAAACTTCGGCTAAAATGGAAGAAAAACAAGGTGGTAATTTAAAGGCACATTCCTTCTTCCACTGTTTTATAACAAGGTTATTGCTCCTAGCTTCCACATCGCAGGAATTTGTTTCTGGTTTTAGAGGTGCTGGAAGAACCTGAGCCGAAGGTATTGGACGTTGTATTACTGCTGCTACAAGTGTCTCTTGTCGAATGGTCTCGGCTCCTCGGCTCCGCTCCAGCTTCTGCACAACAGTTTATACAGTACAATAGATGTATGCGAGTCCTGGAGTATGAACATAAATGTTGAACGATAGTCAAATGGAATGGCCGTAAGACATTTAAGAGCAACGCGTTCACAAATCGCGTGCTGCTTTTATTGCTGTTCTACTTAGACATCAGTCCTAAGAATCAAATTAATTCTCCGCCTCAAATTACGACGGCCATTGACGCAAATGTAATGGCGTTTGTTCTCACTAATGAAGGTTTTGGCCAAATGCTTTTGATATGCCAATTTCTTATCTCTGAGACATTGAGTGAATTGTTTACAATCGGAAACTTTATTGTCCCATGTATCTGTCCTTTGTAACGTTCTATATTCTCGCAAAGTTGAGTTGCTTACAGTCATCCATTTTCTAGTTTTGTTCCTCAAAAGTTAACGGTTTTGAAAGCTTTAAAAACATTTGCCTCTGTAGCATCGTAACTGGTTACTTGAATTCGATGACATATTAAAACCAAGCGTCTTCCAATGGTATACAATGAATAACAATTGCTTTTGTCACTGTCGAGTCGGGATGATCGGTCGTAGTGGGAATCCTTGCGCACCACCTCTGTGTTCTGGTGGAAATATACGGCATAGCAGATTAAGGCAAATCGAAAAACCGCACAAGCACGACGACCAATAGGACATTCTATCGTCATTATGTCCATCATATGCTTATCGTTGGTAGGAACAAGACAAAACAAAGTAAGTCTATTTCCTGTTTTGAAACGGGTGGGTGTAAACACGTGGTTGTAAAGTGAAGCACTGTTTATACTCTCTTTCTGATACGCTTTAAATGGTTCTCCGATTGTTAGTGCTTTCTAAACCTTGTATGCTTAAATCACGCAAGCTAAGGATGTGATTCTGCATTCGCTTTATTATGCATTTTAAAGTGCCCGCGATGTGGCATTCCATTTTTGGTTTAGAGGTTAGGAGCGATTAACCAATTCTTTATGTTTAGTGTCTGTGGTATATACTTGCAGGCGGTGCTAAGGAGAACCGTTGAACAGTGAAGCTGAAAATTTAACTGCTTTGCACTGAAGGTCGCTTCTGTAATAAAGATTACCAAACAGCTATCAGTTAGACTACTTTTTGTTATGAGTAGCAAGCCCAGCAACTACAATTCAGCGTCTGTCATACCGGTGTGCATACTCGTCTCCTTGACTAAGTTGAAATCCCATGGCTTGGAAATTTGGCTACATTTCAGTTCACACAGGTTATTGAAATGCATGGCATTTACAGACTTATCATTTCTCACAAATATAGCCTGTCCAAGTGAGGAAAGCTGGGATATCTACACGACACAAAAAACATTGTGTCAAACACGACCATGTGAAAAATATTGCTCTAATTCTATGCTGCTATACAGGCACTTAAACAAAGTGCACCTGATTAAGCGCGGTATTCGATCTCTGCACACAACATGCTGCTTAGCAAAAAGGACAAAAGTGGCAGCCAACTTTATTGGGCAAATAATTTGTCGTAACTTCAAAAACGTGACACTATTTTGCCCAAATTACTTTCCTGGCCGTGCCTTCCAATTTGACATTGCTTTGTGATTTGTTTGCACGGGATATATCAACACAAACGCTGACATTCACATTTTACCTCTATTTTGATTCATCCGCCTCAGACTGACGTTATCTGACTTCCTACCGTGCGACCGCACTGTAACTCGTCTCTCGCTTTACTCTTTGTGGACATACCAATACTCCTCACAAAATATTGTGCGTGCGCTCGTTCGAACCAGTTCGACGAGCTCTACTCAGTGCTTCCCATCTATTGGATCTAACCGGTGTGTATTATACTCTTTCTCTAGTTCCTATTTTTTGGCATATTCTTTACCGAATGTAACTTGTGTAACTACATCAGACCGGTATTTTGGAAAAGAGTTTGATCTCACTCGGAAGAAGAAGCTGAGGGCTCCCAAAATACGTGGCAACCATCCCTGCAAGTTGCAGCATAACAAAGTTAGAGACTTTTTGCTCCGCTCATCAACTGAGCAGCTGTCAGGACGCTTATCAGCGCTCCACCTGCACCGTCGCTTAAGGCGGGCCCATTAACACACGCTGCCGCATTATTTGTGTGTGTACCACTGCAAGTCTATTGATCGCTGAATCCGACAGTCTGCGCGTTACGACCCCCATCTGCCTCTACACCTGACCTAGGTACGGTTGAACAACTCCTAATTCGTGTGCGTGTCCGGACCTATTCGTGCTTCACTCCTAGCGCAAAATACACTCACCAAGTATTCGTTGTAAACAACAAGAGGGCAACTAGCATTCCTATGGTTCAGCGTCGTCTATGTTGTGCAGACAACTGCAGTAAGGTGCCTAAGATCAGTATTACCTGTTCCAGCTGCATTAACTCGTACTGCCCGCAATGTGCAGGCAAATCTGTCCAAGAAGTGAGACAGACAAACTAAGTTGCTGGCACAATTTGGTTTTGCCCATCATGTCAAGTGATTCCAGTTGTCAACTGTTTATCATTCCTAATGAAAAAATGAGATAGGATGACTGAAATAATCGCGCAATTTGTAAATAATAAGGTCGCTCACTCAGGGGGAAATATGGCCACGGTTAAAGTTAGTTCTGCGTTTACACCGAAGAAAAGAGTTAAACCATGCAACCGCACTGCAGCCTCTGTGACTCTAAACCCACTGGGTCACTTCACTCTTATCAGTGGGCAAGCCTCAAACATGCCTGCGTCCACTTCTCCAACCATAAACGCTTCAAATGGAGATTCAGCGATGACACCGATAGCTCACAGCCGAAGGAAATCCGGTGCGGATAACAAGCAGGTAACGTACGCATCGATTGCATCGACAAACACACCGGGAGCGACACACATAAGTTCATCTTCAGTACCGAGCACGCGTGGCGCAAATCAGCTTTCACTGTCAACTCCAGCGGTGCTCTCTAAACCGCCTGAATTGCGGGCAAAAATTATAAAGCCAACACTCGGTAGACAAAACCAAGCTGCGCTAACTCTCGTGTGCACCAATGTTCCTGAATCCAAATCTGGCACAATAAAAGGCAAGTTGCAAGACGATCGCAACCAGTGGAGTTCCATCTGCGAGGCGATTGGCATTCGGGTTGAGCCTGCAATGCTGCAACGCGTAGCACGTCACCCGACCTCAGTGCACTCTGGTGAACCTCGAATTCTTAGAGTAACACTAAACTCAGCAGATGAGAGAGAGACTGTCCTGCTCTCAGCAGTTCGTCTTAGCAACTCACCGAGCGGAGTGCGCATATTACCTGATCTAGCTTGGAAAGACCGCGCAAAAGAAGCAGTGGAGCAACGCTCTGTTGCTACTAGAAATAGCAAGAAACTAATATTAGCTAACGGTATTACCGAGCTCCTGCATGCTTTTGATCACGATGCACAAACACATGACCGAGAGCAGTGGTGCTACATCCGCCGACACCTGGGCTGCATACGTGACACATCGTAACTTCTGTGTGAAACTGATCCGCGAAGACTAGGTGACGCATCAGCAGAAGTTAATGAAGCGATTCTGCACTAACCACAATCTCCTGTACAGGCACATTAACTGCCTTCGAAAGGTAAAGCGAGGGGTTCCGGCGTTATTCACGGCTGATGGATGCACGCGGTCAGCAATGGAAGCAGCTGATCTCCTACGGCTTCATTACTGCCAGACGTTTCAACAAGTGTCGAGCCCAAACATTCACCTTATTTCTAATACTATACCATCTTGTTTAGTATACATCACCTTCACTACGGAGGCTGTGTCGAAGATGTTGTTATCCTTGCGTATCCACAGTTCTCCCGGAGCTGATAACATCCGACCAAAGGCTCTACTGGCAGTAGCTAGTGATCTAGCAGAACCACTGGCTGTTTTCTGTCAGCGATGTCTAGAGGAGAACCTTATTCCACCAGTATGGAAGCAAGGGCTAATCACTCCTCACCATAAAGGAGGTAGCCGCACTGATCCTGCGAACTACCGTCCAATAACACTACTTCCTGTACTATCCAAAATGATGGAATCAATCGTCGCAGACGCGCTTATGCAGTATTTGGAAAGCCACAATGTAATAGCCCCAGAGCAACGTGGCTTTTGTCAAAAGCATTTGTGTAATACTAACCTATTAATTGCACGTAATAGCTGGACTGAATTTGTTGATGATGGAGTTGGAGTCGATGTCATCTACCTGGACTTTTCAAAAGCGTTTGATCGTTTAGATCATCGAGTTCTCCTTCAGAAGCTTCAGGACTACTGCATTGGCGATTCAATCCTGAGTTAGATTAGCAATTTTCAATAACAGCGACGGCTAATAGTGCGAGTCCGAGAATTATTTTCTCTTGCAATCGACGTGAAGTGTGAAACACCACAAGGCTCGGTTCTTGGACCTTGTCTATTCTTGGTGTTCATTAACGATTTGGCGAGATTAATTGCTTCCGAGTTCCTACTTTTCGCCGATGATATCAATATATGGCGAAGGATCAGAGGACCGGATGACCATGAACGGCACCAGCACGATCTTAACACAGTGTCGAACTGGTCAGTTCAAAACGCTCTACCGTTCATTGTAGACAAATGTCGCGTAGTGCAATTACGCCACAGATATAAATATACCTACATACTTGGGACAAAATTATTGCAGAATAGCTCCCAGGAACGTGTTCTTTGTGTGTTCGTACAGAGCGACCTTAACTGTTCAAAACAGGCTGAGGTAGCTGCCAAAAGAGGCAACCAGCACGTCGGCATGCGGCGAAGGGCATTCGGGAGATTTGACCCATCTATCTTCCCAATGATGCTCAATTCCTACGTGCGCCCGCGTGTTAAGTACGCAATCCAGGCTTGGCAACCTTGCTTGAAACGCGACCTAGAAGCGATAGAGTCACCACAACGAAGCGGAATAAAGAACGTGAAGAGCCTACGCTGTCACTCGTGCCACCAAAGGCTGAAGTTGCTGGGAATTTTCAGCGGACGTTATAGAAGGCTGCGCGGCAATCTCATATTAGCGTATAATATACTGAGTGACCCCAACCACGTATGCCGCCATTTGCTGAAATTTAGCTACAACACGCAGCTCAGGCGTAACTGCTTAAAGTTGAAGGAACAATACAGCCGTCTAGAGTATCGATGGAATTACCTTTCCCTTCGGGTTTGCAAACCATGGAACGCACTCCCAGACTCAGTGGTTTCCTCTCCTACTCTGGATGTTTTTAAAAAACTATTAGATGTTGCTCTCCGCTCCCAACATTTTGTTACCTAAGCTCCTCTGTTGTGGATTACGCCAAGTATGTTTGCAACTGGACTAGTGTATCAAATGGACCTAAGTGAGCGACCATATTTTATTTTCTCAATCCTTACCTCAACTATCACTGCGCCTCAGTGTCTTTCTGAATGTTTACGCGCGATATTTCTTTTTCATTTTACACTGATGTTAATTATCAAAGTTTTCAGCTCGGCAGACGTTCGACAGGTGAATCAGACATATTTTATTTGCATCATATTCGCCGCTACAATCCTACGGGACTTGTCAAGCACTTGCTTTTATCCCGTGATAAATCATTGTTCATTGTTCGTTGTTCATTGTGCATAACGCGTTATATTACCTGCGCTCGCAATATATATAACGCGGTTCTAATACATTTTTATGGTAAGTAGATACGGAACAAATGATAACGATTCAAAAGGAAATGAATTAGTTCCCGAAGTAAGCATTAAGCAGGTGGGCGGGTTGTACTTGGAAGGAAAAATCTGGGATTATATGTGCACTAGCTTTGAGCAATGTCAAGATCGCTTGTGAGCAAATTAGACGAACTTACAGTTTAAACAAGTTGTTGCGAATACGACCAACATTGTGTCAATAATCTACAGGAGACGTGATTGCACGAGGAAGTAAAACATATATTTGTGGCACTTGACGGAGGTAATCTTCATGTCGTTCAGCGCATATGTACCCAATATAGTGTGTTGGTAGATTTATTACTTACCTAAATCCTTGATGTTGCAAGTCGACAAAATGTACTATTCGTCATTACTTGTTCGTTCGATTATTTTAGCTAACATCTCATTTCTTCCGGGCATCCTATAGCGGATGCTAAAACAGTTCAGGACCGTCTTCCAACATGTAGATATATATCTGTGTACTTTTGCCGATGGCTTCAATATATTCGATACTATTTTAATAGCAATCTTGGAGTGATGGACATCCTGGGTATGTAGAAATATTACAAGCAACGCTAAACTCTTTTTGTCAATTATCCAAAGCATGTTCTCTTTGTACCAAGGCACAGCTTGGAAGCTCAAATAGTGTCAACATAAATTGTATCCCATAATCTATGGTAAAACTAATCATATGTTATTAGCTGTACTGAGCACAAGTTAAAGCAAACACAATGGATTTTCCAAAACATAATGCTATTACGCGTTACGGTCTCTGTTATAGATTTTAATGTACTTTAAAACTCTGATGTATCAGAGTGGTTTAATAAGGTACCCAGCTACTAGCAATATTGCTCCGACAATATTTATGCTTTTGAAACCATATTCAATTATCTAGATTGGTTTACATCTCATTGCTATAAAGGACAGTGTAGACTAAAATAAAAAGCGTAACATGCTAAGACGCCGCTTCAGTATAGCCATTATCGGCTGATATAAAAATGAAATGATTCCCTCATAAATATTTATGTCTAAACTGTACTTGGAAGGAATGATTGCTGAAAAATATTGAAAATACTGAACCACAAGAGTTGAGTCATCAGAAGTGTTACACATCCTGCTTGCGAGGTGCAGGAATTAAATCGCAACCTTTATATTCGTATAAATTTTTCAGATTTACATTTACCATATATACTGTTGTAACTCCTTATAAACTTAGCCACTCATAGAGTGTAATAGTTAAATAGGAATTAACAACTATACTGTCAAGCAAATGGCCCCAACATGAAGGATTTGTACCTATAGTCCTCGATTTTTGTCAATATGCTAACACGGCCTTTTTCTGAACTGTACTCTATGTGCTTGCATTCGCATAAAATAGTCGACAGTACGCGAAGCGCCTGCAATACACTTATGTCAACAAAGGTACCTGTAAACACCGACCCAATGTTTGTACGTTTGTAGATTTTCAGACATTAAAACGTATAATATTTGATGGGTTGCTTTTACAAATATTAGGAAATGATTCGCTTCGGTCCGCTAATCTCATTTCTAAATTCACCTAGAATGCATAAGCTATTGTTGTACACCATATACTCAGTGTTCTTCAGTGACCTAATTCGTCTCCAGTCCTATTTTCTCCCTACATTAACTCTATCCCCGCTGTTAAGGAAGCCATCCTTCTAAATCATGCTGATCGACAGCTTCACCGGCCAAGTGGCAGTACTTATTTTACCTCTATATTTCTTAATTCGCCGCATTTCTCTCAACGCAGCAAAATGTATGATGTTATATTCTCGCTAGCCAAAGAAAACAGTAATCAAAAACTACTGACTCATACCAATCGTATTTTGTTTAAATGTGACAACATAATCTCCTATACAGTAGTGAAATGTCTCAGCTTTATACTAAGTCGGGATCTAATGTGGTCGCACCACGTGAATGAAACATAAACTAACCTCATATGCCTAACCTTCAACTTATCTTGACTTGGCTTATCATCCGCACTTTCTTAAGGTTGGCCACCTGCAACGGACGAATGGCTCACACGTGCTATTTCCCGGACTATTAAAAGGGGTAATTGCAAGCGATTAATAAGCCGCTGAATCATCGAGATCGGTGCAGCAAACTTTTTATGATAGTTTTATTAACATAATTGTGTCCAATCACTTTTGTTACTGCGAAAACTGGCTTAGAAGATGCTCTTGTAGGTCATTCACTATCTACTTTGTGCTTTTTCGGAATGTGCCTCAACTTCTTCGAGCAAATAAAGTGCAAAGCATTGTATGCCTGCACATGGGCTTACTGTATTTCAGCCGTCTCCTATTTGTCTCATTTTCTGAAGATTCAAGACGCAGATAAACAAGACTTTGTTACCAGACTGAATCCATGGTGTCGGCACTGCCATATTTTAAACGGGTGGCCCATCATATACATTGATTCTATTTTTATTTGATTTATTTTTTACCCTTAGCTTAGGTATAATACATAAATTTTCACTCATCACAGGTGCACAAAGCTCCCTTTTGACTTGACTTCTCTGACATCCTGCTTACCGGGATTACGCCACCAACATGTTGATTACTTCCAAAGCTTTACCGAATTGTCTGCTGTCTTTGCCCAAGTTCAGCACAATTAGTCAAGAAGACTTGCGCCAGAAGGCACTATATTTTAACGTTAATGGTATAGGCACCGCCAGAAATTCTGTTTCAGAGATGCCTTAGGATTTTGTATGTCCCCGCAATGTGAAAGAACAGGATCATCACTTCAGACCCCAAATATAGCAGCCCCGCAGAACCAGCAACTTGTTGCCCGATCAC